TCATACAAAATGTCGAAGAAACGCCGCTTTGGACGTAATATAAAATGAAACTTTTACGATTTTATTATTATTATTTATTTTTTCTGATTTTTATCTTGTTATTTGAAGCTGTAAGACGTTAATGAAAAATTTAGCGTAGCAAAAATGCAGGTTCTTACATACTTGTACCATAATGTTTAATTTATAGCCTTGTTAAGCATGGAAGGGAATGAGATTACCACTCCTGCAGATGAACAAAATGATTCAGCTGAAAAAGGAGTTACCAAGCAGTTTGAAGAGGTAAGCGCTGTAATTAGTTTATTTAAACGCACATTTTGCCTATTACAAACTTTCCATATCTTTTTAATACCAAACCAAATACGATAATCCCTTCTATACAATTGCAAAGTGATGTTAAATTACAGAATAAATATAAGAATGATACGGTATGTGCTAGCTCAAATATCCTTTTCCTGCATCAGCCTTACGTTATGATGCTAATGTCAAACAAAGTTAACTTAAGGAATTTTGTTACTGTATTATATGCCATATTATGATTTTTCTAATGAGAGCTTTAATTTTATTACGTATAGCCCTAACGATGCATTCAGATGACGTTAACTAATATCTTCTGCGAAGATCAAACAGTCTACAAATGGTGGAGAATATCACACACGGCAAACATTGTACGAGGCTATTTGAATGTACACTTACATGGGAAAATACACTCTAACCATTATTATGAGTTAGTGTAATCGATATATGCTGTGACGGCTTCAGCATTTGAATCATTGCTATTATTATCTCCTGGGCATTCCTGCTTAAAAGATTACACAGGAATAACCAAATCGACTGATGAATTGATAAATAATATTAGACATGCTGTAGAGATTATCGCTGAAGAAATATTATTTGATGTAATGAAAACGTTGACTGTTGAGATCTGACATGATCAGTAACTTGAATTTGAATAACCCATTTTGGTACTTACAGAAAATCTCGTCGGCCACAAGAGGCGGCGCCAATCGCCTCAAACCAAAAAAGCCCATTTACTAAATACAAGAACAAACGTTCTATTCGTATTTTTCTTTCAAATTTATTATATTATCATTTATTTATGTTTAAGTTTTCATTAAAAATTTCCATTAAGGAGATTAAAATTTATTATTTACGCTAGGTTTTAATTTTCGTGAGAAAATATAAGTCTCGAGAAATACTTTTTTTTCGCTATTCAACAGCATGCTCTTCTGTAGTAGGCAGGTCCCAAGTTTTATAAATTTGTTTTCGAAAATACATGATAGAAGTAAAAAAATAGCGTCTTTACTCAAGAATAATAAGTAAAACGTGTAATCAAAGTTACACCAAACCCAGCGTGTTTGAAGAAGAATTTTTTGGCGAAAAATCACGTAGTTTGACGTCTTTTCTTCAATAAGCAAAAATGGTCGACGGAATTTTCCGGAAGTACCTAAATGGTTAATATCGTTTGACACCAACGCTTCAACATTAATCTGCAAGGTCTTGAGATAAATTTTCATTTAAAGTTGAAACCATTTTTGATATTTAGAAAGGCTAAATAAAAAATTTGGAAGTGTAAATTTTCACTACGTTTATATCTTTAAAAAAAAGTGATGCCATAAACGGTCATTTAAGTTTGTACACCATCATTATTTCGGTTCACATATTTTATTGACAACCAGAGCCCACCAGCGGCAGAGCGATAAAATCGGTGGACACTGGTAGTTTAGACCTGGGTTCCATTCCAGGGGAGCGAACGGGCTACATGGGCGTTTTCGTAGTTTTCCCCATGTGTAACGTGTATACGAGCCAGTTGCTTTTAAAAAATCCTCCCTTTACAGAGATAGCTGTAGTGTGTTTTGCCGTTATCTACCAAACCAATCGCCAATTGACAAATAATGGGATTCTACAAATTGGAGAAATTTTGATTCAGAAGTTTGCACTCGGGAAGAGATTCGAATTTTATATATAGGTGGACTTAAATTTAAGATACAGTTGGGCCTTTTTTAAGGATAAATTGAAAGTACAACCTTGATGCCGTGAGCTGCAGACTTAAGCAATTTAGTCTGTAATGATACTTCACTTGCTTAAATGCATATAAAAATAAAAATAAAAGTGTCTTTAAAATAACTAAGGATTAGTAAAAGCAACCGAGAATTACCCATAGTTTGTAATTATTACTCATATTTAAACTGTACATAACATGTGTGTATTTTAATTGTAGCTTATTGAGCTCAGAAAATTATCCTAGGCTTTATAGTTCTAATTTTCGGTTTCACAGTAAAATTTCATAAATTCATAAATTAGAAAAGGCATTTAGATTAATGAAAACTAAAATAATTTCAGAAAGAAGTTACTGTAAATAAAAAAGGAATGAGAGCTTTTACAATCAGAATGGGTGGATTTAAGTTTTTAATTAGTTTTAACTCATCAATTTAATAAATATAAATTTCTGAAAATACAACTATAACAAACTAGAAATTTATTTATTTTGTGAAACAAAAGTAATGCTTTTATTTTTTTAGTAAATTTTCGAGACAATATAGTGGAAAAATAGACACATTTTGATTACGAGCGATTTAGATTAATGGAAGACTACGATGACGTATTTAGGTCAAAAAGGATTGCTGATGCGTCTGACTCTTAAAATCTTTATGGAATGACGGGAAAAAAGCTCTAAACGCAAAAAACAATTCTCCACTAATACATTTCCAGACGAGACCTAAAAAGAGAATAAGTAGATCTCAGGATAAATAGAACCACAAGAAATCCCTGAAAATTGTGCTTTAGATTTATCTTGAAAAAAAATTATAATTCGAATAAATAATCATCTCTTTTTGTGAAAAACATGCTTTCTAAAGAACTTATAAAAAATTCTAACGTTCTAAAATTGTGATGGGTGTATCAGAAACTTAGGTGAAAATTTTAAGTGGGCAATAGATTTTCAAAGAAAACAGGAACTAGCTTTACACATTTTGATAAAGTCGAAAATTGTAAAGCGTGTTTCGTGTGAAATTCCTTTCTAATAAATACAGAAAATAATTTGACAAGCAGATGTTTAAAGTGTCAGTTAAATTACCGTCTCATTAAGCAATTAAAGTAGGGCAAAGAGTTTTGAAAGGTATCTAAATAATGATGAAATCCGGAATTACTTTATAAAGTTTTATTTAATTGTCAAATCGCTTTATTATTTTGAATTTTTCATATTTCTACGCTCATCATTTTCACAAGAATGCAAATTAATTTAATGTTTAAATAAGCTTGTAATGGCTAAATTTATTAGTAAGCGTTTGGAACAATAAGTTGACCATCAATCTGTTGTAATTTAACTTGCCGGCGAAAGCTTCTGCTAGTCGTGATTGCTTCGCGAGCATTTAGAAGAGTGAGACAAAAGTTTTACTTAGGTATGCTAATTTTGTATTCTGCACAGATTCGGTATGAACGTGTGCGTTGTATAACCGTGAACTAGTGGAGTTTTTTTCTTGTTAATTTTCGATTTTTTAATAATAAATAAACAGCTTTTATTGAAATCGATGGTATAACGTCCATAGACTTTAGCACGAAGTCAGAGCTTGCTAATAAATAGCTTTTATTTTCAAATTTTTGCTTTAGTTGTTATACTTTTAGCTGCTGTCAGACGGAACGAAAAGTTGTTGAATGGCACTCTTCTACGTTTACTCAGAGCTGAAAGGAAATTTTAAAGCTATTTCACTTAACCATATAATTTTAAGACCTGCATACAAAACATCATAAAAGAAGAAGTATATGAATATAAGACCATGAGCAGTATTGATGTATTTAGCACCTAAAAAGTAAGATAAATCTGAAAACATTTTTTTCGGAATATTAAAAAAAATATGGTTTTAAATGCAAAGCTGATTAATAGATTATGGCACAGCACGGAAGGCCTATCTTCTTTAGAAGAAATATTTCCGTGGAAGAGTTTCGATTGGAAACCAGCTTTACTTTCTTATAACACATTAGGAAACCATGAAACGACATCATGCAAGCAGTCCTTCCGCTGAGAACCAAATCCGAAACAGACTACCAATGTTCATTGGTTTTGTCATACTCAACGGCCACCGTCGGACCTTAATAATTTTAGTAGAGGTATTAAACAATGGATAAAAGATAGCACAGATCATGCATTATGTATGGGTGTCTGTCTGTGTTGTAGATACAAATACTGAAACAAAACATACAAAAAATAAATAAAAATCTGAAAGGTTTCAGATTTTATGTAACGTCCAAAAGGGCGTTTTTTGAACAGTTTGTCTGTTACCTTTATTTATTAAATATCACGTTCTTCGCACTTAAACCATAAAATTCAGTTCAAGGGCAATATCGAAAAATAGTTTTAAATTGAGCATATCTTTAGAATTTCCGATACGCAGTCTCACGCGCCGGAGATAAAAATGTCTTTTTCTGTACAATGTTGACATTGCGCGATTTGAAATCCTTGAGTTTGTGTTTATCAAAAATTAGTTTTCAAATTAGTTTATCAAAAATGTTTTACATAATATGAAATCGATAATAAAACAAAGTCCAAATTTCAAATTTGGGCTTTCATATGCCCATATTCGCAGTAGGATTACGTCATTTAAAATTCGATGGCTCTATGTACCGTTGTTTTATCACAATATTCCAATACATACATTTATGCAGATTTTTCATTCTTTAATTTCTTCAAATATAATGCAGGACTCTAACATTTAGTGGCAACAGTTTGAAAAGTGAAACGGACATTTATAGTGAATCAACGCAAAACTAAAACAATAGTCCTTCAGGAAGAAAGCACCTCTGAACTAATAATTATATCTTCGTTAATGTTGGTGAAGGATTATAACCGCCAGAGGGCTAGTGTCGAAATTTTTGCGAGTTCTTCATAATTATTTAATAGAATCGAAAATGAGACATATAGTTTTATGATGAAACAAAGTTACAAGTAATTTAAACAAATAACACTGTTTGGATGCGAGATTTAATCTGCAGTTTTATCTTTCAAGGAAACTGTCACTGAAATTTCAAGAGAACGTCAAGAATCTGAAGAAACTCTGGAAGAACTATCACCACAAAGCGAAATCTTAACTGGAAAAGATGAACATGGGAACATGGGTAAGAAGCATAGCCGTTTGTCTTTTCTTTTTAATAATTCAATTTAAATATTGAAAGGATTGCGGTATTAAACAAAAGAGAAATTGTCAAAAAGCATGGTGAGCCTTGCAACTTATTTTCTGTTGGAAATTATAATTATTGTGGATTTAGTTTCTTGAAATGCTAAGTTTAGAAGACAATGTAAGTAATGCTTTTTTAAAAATTAGGTAAATATCTAATCTTTAGAATTAACTATAAGTGAAGTGTTGAAAGTATACTGAAAAGGCATCCCTTTATATTAAAAAACGGTAAACTTATCACAATTCTTCAACAAAATTAAAAGAGTGTTCTTAAACATTTATTTTTTTCCCTCTGAAAGGAAAAAAAGAAATATTTAAGAACACTTTTTTAACTTCAACTTCCTTTTTCCTTCTTCTTCCTTTTTCTTCTTCTTCCTGTCTTCTTTTTTTTTCTTTCCTATAAATAAGTGCAGCCGGGAAGCTACACTTATTTGCTGAGTTATCTACAAAGTGCATTTAATTTTTAGGACTGCTGTTTATGCGAGGAAAGGCATTGCAGCAATCTGTGGTCATGATTTTTCAGAGTTATAACTATGTGGCATGAAATTAGTTTAAACACTCAATCTAACGGCTAATACACAGTGTTTTCATTTCATAACAAAATACTGCTTTCAACAACTATTTAACTGCAATTACAGAAACATTCAGAGTAAAATCCAAATCAAAGTTTGTTAAGCTACTTCTGTTAATTCAGAACATTAAAATTAAAGAGCAACACAAACTCAAACTATCACCGGTCGTTAATAAAGTATTATGTAATTAAATTTTTTTCCAAACATTTACGAAACAAAATTCTTCACCTGAGTTGAAATCACATTCAACGTAGGAAGAACGTAGGAAGTCATGCACAATAGCATTGAAAGGTTTGCATAACTCTAAGGATTCTAATTAGTAGGAATCTACTTTAAAAACCTCACTTGAGATTTGAATCAAAGACCTCCTAATTTATGCTCTTTCATTTGGGTTTCATACAATGAGTTACTGAAACTGGCATTAAGCGAGCATAGTATTTAGCACTGAGATTCGACTTATTTCTATAGACTTAAGTGACTAAGTTCGTTATTGAACACGCCATTTACAAGTCCTACTAGAATATATGGTAGGACAAGACAGATCTCATTTGAAGTACTTCATTAGTTTGTTAAATGATATATTAGTTAAGTTAGTAAATTAATAGTTATATATTATATATTAGTTTAGTAAATGATATATAACTCATAACAAAATAAAATACATTTTAATTCACGAAGTTTGATAAATAGCTCTTTTATCTAATGTTGTGTATATAATTGTTTGATCGCGTTATAAAAAACCAGGCGAATTATTTTTCTGATTTAAGAAAATCTTAATTTTATTTAATTCTGGATTATTATTTTAATGCTTTAATTTTGGGGGAAAACAGATGCTTCTAAGAATATATTTAGCTTCTATGAATATTATTTATTTTACTTTATTTAAAATTTTTGTTCAAGATTCAGTTCATTGTGAAAAGAATTGGGAAGGGAGGCGATTTTGCTAAGTCATGATTTCGCGGGTTGTTTTGTCCTTTGGAAAGTTCTAGAACAAATTTTGTTTGTGCAATTGACCTTTTGGACAGGATGTACGTGGCGGAAATGTCAGATATTGCCACTTCACCTTCGAGTAAGTCATCTTGGTTGGCGATTTGGGTGTCCGGTGTTGGCTAAGTGAAGAAGTGTGCGCATGTTTGATCAAACTATTTCGGTCATTCAGGGAAAGAAACGCAAATTTTAGTCCCAAAACGGGGGGAGGGGATAAATGAAGCCACTATGGGAGCCCGTGTATGTGAAGGAGACGAAGAAAATTCGAGTTTGAATCACTTTTTGAATGGACGTTTTGACTGAACTTTTGTCTGACGCTCAGATTTTAGACTTGTTCTTATTGTGAAGTGAGGAAAGAAAGACAGATGTAGTTCGCCTACTGGCAGTGCTTCCGGCGGGGAGCAGCAATTATGCTCCACGGCCGCGTGTTTTAGCTAAAATTTTGAGATACTGAGTGGCGATAGACTAAACTGTTGAGCGAATAATAATAAAAAATTAACAGAGACTTTGGTCTTCATCTGGATCTGCTAAAACCAGGACGATGTCCTCTGAACTTCGACTTGAAACTGAGGAAAGGAATTATGTTACCGTAGACTAATGAAAACTTGCGTCAGCAGTTTTCTTAAATACCTAGCTTAATAGTCTACGTTTGCCCTTGTTGAGCTGAGATTCTATTCTGACAGCCCTGCGGCGCAAGCTGTTCTGCTTTCCAAAACTTTCTTTTTTCCAAACTTTGGGAAAAACTTTCTTCTATGGAAACCAGTTGCAGGCGTTCTCCTCTGTTGAAATTGCTGAAGCGTCGCTTAACATTTCTTCCAAAGGATGCGGTTTTTTCGGGAATGCAACGTCTCACCCAGTCATTTCAAGGCCCTCTTCAAGTCATCTATGTTACAGATAAGTTTTTTTCCTGTGTTTTCATTTATTCCTATGAACTTCCAGAACTTTCTTTGGGACTTTATACTTCATATTGAATCTCCAATTCAATTCTAAATGCCTGAAAATTCGCTCCCTTCCTATTTCGTTCTTTACAGAGACTAAAATGGAAAATCTTAATAAATTAATTATGGTATAAAATATAATTTGTTTTTGTGATATTATCTTTAGTATAGATGTTGAATTTCAGAGGTGTACCTGAAGAAAGTAATGTGGTTTTTGACCATCCTAGAATTTACTGCAGTAGTTCTGGTTAAAGTTAAATTAAATGAGTCATAAAGGGAAGTCTGAGAATTAGTTCACATGTGTAACTGAAATAAGGAATTGAGTATTCATTACCTAGGATGTGAAATTTAATTAAAAATCTTGAGAAATCTGAATAAACTAGTATTTTAATCTGGAAACCTATTTTTCTGTTTTCTTTATATCTATTTATGTTTTTCCTTATAGTATATATTACATTTACGTCTTGTTATCCGATCCTCTCACGGCACGGTCCCGGATGCATAAAAAACACAACGCAATTTTCCCACTTGTACGATCACTAAAAATGTTGAAATTAACTAGCTATAAGAGTTTATTTTCAGTTTGCTAGTTATTTTAGTTAGTTACGGTTTCACCTGTCTGTTTCTGAGTCAGTATTACCCTTTTAGATACCGTAGCAGAAATAGAACACTAAGCTCGAAGAGTCAAGGTTATCTCTTTACATTTTCATGTATTTCGTTTGCACCTTGTGAACATTCTGACATTCCTTTTAATATCATGTTGAATAGTGAATTTTTTATTTGTATATTTACATGAAATGCAGTGCTACTACTCAACTGTAGCTGACAGTTACTGTATAAAATAGCGAAATGATAAAACAAAGATTAGAATTATAAATAAAATGTTGTTTCCTTATAATTTAACTCAAAATTATTTTTTTATTTATAACATAGTCAATATTATCAGTCATTTTATCATTTATTTAGTAGAATTTCATTTTGCTTTTTATTTTGCTCGTAGATATCACGTGGTATGAACAATATATTTAATTTAAATATGAACAATCAAATATAATTTCATTTGTAAGTTTTGATGCTCAAAACTGAACTCGAATTATAAAGAATGTTACTTGAATAAAGCATTACATTATTTATTTTCTCTGCAACTATCTATTTTATACCAAACATATAAATCGACAAAGAAGGCAGCACTTAGGAAACTTAAAAGTTAAACAAGAATGACCGATCTGAAGGGCGTATTTTATTTCCTTGGGGGTCTTTTCTAAAAGGAAATCTATTAAGAACGGTTGCTACAAGAAAAGGACTAAGATGAAAAAGGAGTAAACTCCTGGTGATTTCCAATAAGGGAAATGCATAAACGTGCAAAACATATCTAACAAATAACAACAGCTGTTTACTGCACTGAAATTGCGTTTTGTAAATGAAGTTTTATCAAACGCAGTTTAATTTTTGTTAAGCTTTTCTAATTTGGAATGCTTCTAAAATCCAGTTAAAAAAACGCACTCCAAAATTAATAATAAGGTTCAAATTAAAAACCATAAATCTAATGTAGATGTCGCTTTCTGGATCAATTTTTCAGTCAGCAGAACAATGTTGAGGAAAAAAATAAAACCAAAGGGAAATTCTAGCAAATGCATTAATGTAGTTAATGTATTAATTCTTATGTAGATATTAAATTCATTATATTCATAGAAAATCATAAATAAATTACACTTGAACATCGCAAAGCGTTATGTAGCTATAAAATGTTTATGAAACCTGAATAACGTACTTGATAATGCAGATTGATTAATAATTCATTTACAATGCATATCATGTTCATGAATATTTTAACGCATACTTGTTAACTTAGTTCTTTTTCTTTCAACTTTTTCTTTGTTCTGCAGATCCACCAGAAGAATCCGAAATTAAAATCCTTGAGGCAGATGAATATTTTCTTGTTGGAGGCACATACCATTTTGAGATATTTGCAGTTCCAAAGTTAACCACTTGGAGGAGCGGACTTACATATATTCACAGTAAGCCATAAAATTAAATTCCATCTAATACTTCCGAAGTTTATATCTCTCAGAAGTACTCTGGTTACATTGTATTTAATAAAATTTTAATTCACTTGATTAAAGAAATTTGATCATCTGTTATATATAATTCTGCTTTAAGATCCAATTGCAAAAACGAAATGAAAAGAAATGTGAAACTATAAAAAATCCTTTTGTCATTCCATAAATACAATTTAAAAATAATAAATGAAAAATCATTTTTTTTGCTGGCGAACCATAACCAGAAGAAATGTCTGAAAACTAAAAAAATAACATGAAATTTTAGACGGAAAGATATATGAGACGAGGCAAAGGGAAGATTTCAATTTATTTCGATGAAGTCTAGTAATGATTTTTAAACTAATTTAATTTTCCTTAACTTGTAATCGAAAATAATATATTTATGATGAATTTTCTTTTAATTTTATAGTATACTATTATTTATCTACTTTCAGATGTTAATATTCATCATTTCTTAATTTCAATTAAAAATTTATAAAACATCTACATGAATAATTCACAAAGAAAAACGCCTTAATGCCTTAATTAGAAAAAAATAAATGAAATAATTTCGAAATTCAAAATTAAGTAAGGATAATCTATACGAAATAATTTAGTTTGAAATTATCATAACGTTAGTAGTTAAATCTAACTTTCGATGTTAGGGTTAAAGTCTGCTTTATCGAACACTGTTTCCTGATTCGGGTGATTTTTTAAAATCGTTATATTTTAAAGTCGTCTTTCATATAACGTCTTCCAAGACGTTATATGAAAGACGTCAACTCTTTTGCATTAGTTATGTAATCTAAGTGTTTGTACCTTTTATGAAGTTAAAATACTAATAGACATATGTGTATGATTTGTGTATGTACATACACACAAAACAGTTTTCCGCTGTTTCATGAAAATCACGTAACCCGGAATGTAAAATTTTTCGTAAGCCGAAATGCTTATAAGAATACGCATACAGTCATCTAAATTATAACTCATACGACGGTACTTTACGGAAATATGTATGAAAACCAACAGACAGTATGGAAACCAACAGATAAGACAGAAACCGCTCTAGAAAATGAAGAAATCTTGTCATCTACTCTGACTTATGTGAAATACTTAAAATACGATAGTGTACTTAATTATTTGAGCGTTCGTTCTCAGACTCTCCTGCATTACTTCTGCATTTTACAGTAACGTCCGGAAAGATAAGCTGAACGATATTTTTTTCTTTTCAGTTCTTTTTTTTTTCTTTTGTATTTTTTTTTTTTTCTTTTTCAATGCACTTAATTTTTTAAACATTTTCTCTTAAATTGTCATACTTTTATTCTTTACAATAACTGTAAAAAATTTAACTGAATATTTTAATTTTTCAGTTTTTTTATTATTTTATTCATTCATTTATTTTTAGTGCATTTAATTATTTCAGATTTTTTCCTCACATTGTCAAATATTTTTTCAGTTCTACAATAATTGCAAAGAAGATTAACTGAACAATATTTTCGTTATTCAGTTCTCTTTTTCTGAACGACAGCGAATATCCTTGGATTTCTTTCCTAAATGGAGGAAAATCCCGGTCTCATGACAGCTTAATGTTCCAAGAAAAAAATTAGTAAAACGTGGGATTACTTTTATCAATAACAAATGATTACTTCCACCATGATACAATTTTTAAGTATGGAACGACATTACGCATTTTAATTCCAAATACCATCAAACCTCCCTATAAAACGAACTTCAAGGGATCGAAAGTTTGATTTGCTTTATCCGTTTTGATAAGAAAAGTAAAATTATAAACACTTTCTTATCTATATCTATTTGTCTATCCAGCAAACTCTAAATATATATATATATATATGTGTCTAGTGCCAATGTTGAATACCAGATGGCTTCCATATTGTTCATAGTATAATTCTTTTAATGTTTTATTTTTCGTTTTGTGAGTTGGCAATCAGATGAGTTGGACTGAAGATGCAGTAAAAGAACGACGACGATAAAGACATATACAAAAATGTATTGAAGAAGTTAATTCAGTTTATAACTAACATATTTGTTAAACATGTAAATACTTTAAATGTAATTAAACGTACTAGTTTCTTACATGTCTTTTCCAAGAAGGTATTACAACATATATATATATAAAAGCTAAATAAGAATTCTAGTTAAAAAGCCCATTAAGAAGGTACTTTACATATTATCCCCTCAATAGTTAAACTGTCTTCGAACACAGGAAACCACAGAATGAGCAGCTGTTCCGTCTGAAAGACTTTCAGCTTTTTCTGCACATTTAGAGGTGTTTATTATAAAAAAGTAATAAAATAATATTACAAAAGTAAAATTATTGTCATTAAGATTATAAGCCACTTTTGAGACTGCTACTTACGTTAATAATATTAGTAGATAAAAAATTATATATAAAAATGAGAATTGTACTGCTTTGAGATAATCGCTGTTTATTATAAGACAGTTCATTAGAGTCTGAAGCTTCTGGCGATGAGAATTATTCTTAAGAATCTGCTGAAATCATTCACGAGCACTGTTTGTTGTATAGGGCCAAAAATGTAGATCTTTGGTTATTTGAAACTGAAATAAGTAGTGATCTAATGTACCTGGTAAGCCACAAATGCTACTGTTTGTGTTATGTACCCTAAAATGAAATAAGTATGCCACAAAAGGTCTACGAGCTGTCAGAAGATAAGTCACTACACTATTTGTAGAAACTAATTTACGTGAGGGAATGGGTAAGAAGGTAAATGTTCTCCTTAAGTGACTTCTTGTGACCATAAAAATTTCCATTGTGACGCAAGATCTTTTTCTAAACTAGATTTGAAGTAAGAATTGGATTAGGCAAGGAAATAATTGATGTTAAAATACTGTTCGCAGCCTCTCCTGCTAGCTGATCAATGATCTCATTGCCGATACTCAGAGATTTAGCGCCAGTTATGCATAAACATTACTCCTCCTAACATCAGCACTTCCGTATGATGTATCTCCGATCTTTGTCCATAGGCTTCGTAGAATCACATTTGTGACTGCACTACAATTCATTACAGCTGATCGAGAGAGTTAACATCTGTTTAATGGAGAAAACAGCAACTGCATATGGCCGAGAAAACAGCAATATATTGGAACAATTACTTATGGAAAGTTTATACTCGTAGAGTTAGCTCTAAACAGAACGTTCGATAAAATCGGAGTGTCTAACAAAACAGCATCAACAAAAGCCTTTACAGGAACCAAAATGAAGCGGATCGAATACTTTTGCAGCAATGGCTATTTGGTGGCTTGAGAAAAGAAATTGCTGAATGTTTTATTGTAGGAGTTGCAGATAGAAGCGCGGCACAGATATCGGAAAAAAAATAACGTAAATTTGGTTTTCCGTCACTTTTTGTGATTTAGCGTAAGTACCGTTAATTACAATTATTATTGAGTGCAATTAATAAAAGCAATCAGTAAATATTTTTCGTTACTTTTTAGTTTCTCCTTACGTTAATAATTTCACATTTAAAAGAATGATTCAGACCTTTCCCTCGAGATATATATCTTCCTCTAAAATATACATTTATAATTATGAATACTAATTTTATTCATAAAAATATAAAACATGAAAAAATAATAAAAATACTAAGGAATGAAACTTTAATCTTTACTTAACGCCTGAATGCAAGAATAATCTGTAATTTTATTCTGGAGAAATACTGATTTTAAGAAAATTTCATTCATAATTTTGTCCAAAAATTGAAATGATTTCATCAGTTTAGGCTATAATAATAATAACTTATTAATAATATGCATCGCAGTTTTGGAATCCTGCGTTTTATAGAGTCATTTTCTGTGTATTGTATTTCTCCAACGTTTTTATTAGTACCAGGAAAGAAATTTTGAGTGTCAGGATTTTCCATTTTATTTCCTTTCACACAACGGGCTACATACATTCGTTTTTTCTGTAGTTGCGCTCCAATTTTAATATGCGTTTACTTTTGGTTGAAGATTGATTATGTTAGAAATCGCGAGATGGAAAAGCCAGGTTGTCAAGTTTTAAACTAGCAAACAGTATGCATAATTTTTGACTGTCCTGTTACTCTATATTATGATATGCTAATTGAAATTTTATTTAAGTTATTATTTTTCTACTGTAAAATACTTGGAAGAAGGCTAAACGTTAATTACATGTCAAGACATATCGTTTATTTATAGGTTAGTAGATTTACATAAAATCCTATTTTAAATCTTTTTTCTTATTCACTTACTTTATTAACAATACAATATCATTGATAATTTCCCAGATTTAAGTGCAAAATGCGGCCGTATTGCCTTTTAAAAGCATGAGCCAATCTTTACCCAAACTGCCTGGGCAATTACATTAGTATACTGTTAACAAAATCTAGGTTTATGTCAAAATAACAAACCTAATAAAACGATTATTGGAAAGTTAAACAGAAATAATAGTTAAACAGCGTAATGTTAACAACAGCGTGAGTTAAGCAAGAATCAGCAGTCTTCCATTGGTGAATTAGAATTTATAGAGGCGTTTCAAATTCAAAAATATCTTTTAGTTCTAATTAATGACACTAATTACAATCCATCTTTACCCTCAGCCGTTCAGGAAATTATGTTTTAGCTTTCTTTTTCATCAATAGATGGCGTCAGTAGACTTTTTTACAGTCATTCGTATCACCATATCCTATCTCTTTCATTTATCTTAAGCAGCTGAAAAAGTTGGTTCTATATTTAAACCATCCAAACTAGTCCTGCAAAATTTACAAACATTATGCTGATTTTTTGTTGTTTAACTTCTCCAATAAAATATAAGTTTATAAAATATGTACCCCCCACATATATATATGTAAGATATAACATAATATGATAGCTGCTTTAAAAATAATTGGCGACCTCAAAATTAATGATTTTAGATTTTATGGTCTCCCTCTAAATTCAACTGTTCTCCCGGATTCTAGATCTTTCTATGTTACGTAACGTTTTAA